TCTAACCTCAGTTCCTGCAAAAAGGATGGAGAAGATGATAGTGGGTACTGTTGAAAGGCATTTAAAGAATAGCACACTCATCAGGCACAGTCAACATGATGGGTTCAGAGAGGCAAAGGCCTGTCCTTCTATGATAAGGTCATGTGAGTGGCAGATGAAGGGAAGGCAGTGGATGTTGTTTTTCTGGATTTTAGAAAGGCTTTTGATACTGTCCCTCCCAGCATCCTTCTGGACAAGTTGTCCGACTATGGGATGAGCAGGTTCACGGTGCATTGAGTGAAGAACTGGCTGAACGGCAGGGCTCAAAGGGTTGTAGAGAATGGGGCTGCACCTGTCTGGCGATGAGTCACTAACGGTGTTCGTAAGGGTTTAATACCAGGGCCAGTTCCATTCAATATATTGATCAACAATCTGCATGCAGGAGTTGAATTGCACCATTAGCAAGTTTGCTGATGATACCAAACCGGGAGGTGCTGTTGACTGTCTTCGGGGACCAGATGCCTTGCAGAGGGATCTGCGTAGGTTGGAGCATTGGGCAACGGTTAATGGGATGAAATTTAACAAGTCTAAATGCCGGATTCTGCACCTGGGATGGAGTAATGCCGGGCAAAAGTATAAACTGGGAGAGGAGTGCCTGGAGAGGAGACCTGCCAAAGGGGTCTGGGTGTGCTGGTTAACAGCAGGCTCAGCAGGAGTCAGCAGTGTGCCCTGGCAGCCAAGAGGGAAACCGGCATCCTGGGGTGCATCAAGCACAGCATAACCAGGCAGTCCAAAGAGGTGATTATCCCACTGAATTCAGTGTTGGTGTGGCCTCACCTTGAGTATTGTGTACGGTTCTGGGCACTGCCATTTAAGAAGGGTGTTAAGATCCTTGAATGTGTCCAGAGGCAGGCAACAAAGCTGGTGAAAGGCTTGGAAGGAACGTGCTATGAGGAGCAGTCAAGGACTTTGGGGTTGTCTAGTTTGGAGAGAAGGAGGCTGAGGTGCGACCTCATTGCTCTCTACAGCTTTCTGAGGAGGGGAAGTGGAGAGGGAGGTGCTGATCTCTTCTGGCTGGGATGCAGTACCGGGATGCATGGGAATGGCTCAAAGTTGCATCGGGGAAGTTTAGACTTGACATTAGGAAGCGCTTTTTTACTGAGAGTGTGGTCAAACAGTGGAACAGGCTTCCTAGAGAGGTGGTTGATGCGTCATGCTTGTCAGTGTTTAAAAGGCATTTGGACAATGCCCTTGATAATATGCTTTAGCTTTTGGTCAGCCCTGAAGTGGTCAGGCAGTTGGACCAGATGATCATTGTAGGTCCCTTCCAACTTGAATGTTGTGTATTCTTCTGTTCTGTTCTCTTCTGATTCCTTAATACTAAAGGAGGGCAAGTTACTATTATTTTGGTAATTTGAAGTACATTATGGAGCCTGCAGGTTATTCAAGGGATAAATAACCTCTAAATACAGTTTTTACTTATTTGTAGTGGTAACCAGGATAGCATGTGAATCTAGAGACTTTAAAACATTTTTATCCTGTTGTGATCCAATATATCATAATGTTTTTTCCCACCCCCAAAACAGTTTCAGTAAGTTTATTTCTAGGAAAAAAAAAAAAAAGAAAAAAGCCTCCATCAAGAAAAACAATGCAGAGGAATAGAAGGGCAGTTGAATGGCCTGAAGTAATATTCAAATCTTTAAAGGTGACTACACCTCTTCATGCACAAAGTCATAATGTTATTTAGAGCCCCTTGTAGACAAGTAAACAACAAGATGCTGAAAGTTCTTATGAACTTTGTTTTATAATTATCTTTTGTAAGGGGTTTCCAGTTTGACTGTAATTTACACAGTTGGCTGTGATACAAACTAGGTGGAAGTTAAGTGAAGGTCTCTAGATGGACTGTGCTGGGTTTTGGAAAAGACTAGTAGTTCTGTTTCACAAATGATAAGGACTTCCATAAGGGGCAGAAGCGCTATCAGTCCAGCTTGTTTTTCCACCTCCACAAGAAAAGTTCTTCCCAAATAATCTTAACACATATGCTGTGCTTGCCCCACTCTCACATAAAGCTGGTTTTGAGGCTAGCCCAGAAGCCCTATGAATCAAGTGGAAGCACGTGAACATCTTCTTACTAGTTTTTGTGGCAACTGAAAGTCAATGTGGACCTTTTTAATAGTGTGACTCATGCACTCGATAAATACGAACATGTCTAATACCTAAGGAGTTAACATAATAGTTTTTGAAGTTTAGCCAGGACAAGTGCTAATACATGAGATAAAGCATTGTTATTGACATGTCACTGCAGACAAGATTTTTAGCTTACTGTTGTTTTCTTTCTAATAGTTCTAAATACTTCTCCATCGTACTCCAGGACAGCTGAGCAGCTAAAGAAACCAAACAAAGATTAACCTTTAACCAGGGTGTGCTTCTGTTAGCTGTAGCATTGGCATGGTGATAACCATCTGACAAGATAAATGCCTGATGCTGTTCTGATGCCAATCTGTTGGAATGTTGTTATTAGTTCTTCAGGGAAAACAAAATTATTTTTGTAGTTCACAAGGGAAAAGAGATAAATTAGAGTATACAAAATGCTTTCAAATAAATAAATATTTGCTCCTGGGACGTTTATGAAACTCTACCAAAATGTTAAGCTAAACCACAGGAACAAAAACGAATGATGTGACTTCTAGAAAGTCTTGGCTCCTGACACGTGACACTGTAAAGGATGCCTATTAAATTAATAACTCTAAACATACATTACGCTAAGCAAGGCAGCTCTGAACTAGATTCGTGAAACTAATAAACTAAGTAAAAGTGATTTTTTGCTGACGACTTTGCTTAATTTTAATGTGCTAGATTCAAGTTATTTGCTTTAAGCTTTGTTCCAGTGTAACAGCTCAACTTCACCCCTCCGTTGTCCAGCATCTGCTGGGAATTTGATACGTAAAGTACTTCAGTCTGTTTAAGGAAAATGTCCAGTTTCCCTGAGATACCTGTTTGCAGCTTTCTGAGGACTATATTAACTTCATAGAAATTACAAGCTTCATGAGTGTATGAATGCTAATGACATGAATGTATTAATATCATTGGCGATGAAGCCCTCATTAGCATGACAAGTAAAATCTGTGCTAAATTTTAGGGTCTGTTTTTACCCATCAAAAAGGTAGATATTCGGTCTCATAAAGTAGTCTACGTGGCTGTGTTAAGTAGGAGAGGCACATTCAGAAAGAAACTGCCTGTACCTTAGTAACTTGGCTACAAGTGGAGTGAAATTCTTATGTGCCGTTCCTGGTTCCCATTGCCTCCTGCGGAGGAGCGGTGGGACTGGGAGACCTGGTCTTAGATGGTCTCCTCAAATTCTGAGATTCTGCACAGTGATTCCCACTCATTTTTCTTTACAAAAATGACAAATACAAAAAATAATTCCAATGCAAAAAGTTGGTAAATTCTGGAATAGTATGAAGTCTGTTTACATTCTTAACTGTCTTCAATTGCAGTAGAAATCTTCATGACTTTTTGTATCACTTAAGAAGTTTGGAAGATATTTGTGATTTCATGTCCTTTTCTGGCATCAAAGATCTTGTTTGATGCATCTAGTTTACTCACAGTTTTTAGGATAAGCCACTACTTGCCAGCAAGTTATTCAGGTTGATACATAAGTGTCTCAATGCAGAATCACATAAGTACCATGGATTTTAGTCTGCAATCCGTGTCTCTATTTTAATCTTGAATTAAAACTGTTCTCCTATAGAGAAACCTATTTGTGATCTATAATTCTGGTATATAATCAAGGTGAAATGTCTATAATACAGGCACTTCTGCTGCATACCAGATTTTACAATTTGGTTTGTCAGCTACTTCAGATTAGGAAATGGATGTGTGTGGAAGGTGTACACTATTGTCTTTCTCTTACCAAAATGGCTGCTTCAGCCCTCCTGCTGGTTTAGATAAAGAGAATGCTTTGGACTGCTACTGTTATGGCTCCATGATCAGGGTGTGGATATGCACTTAATCAACACATACTTACAGTTGGAAATGATTGTAAGAGTTTAAAGGACACAGAGCAATGAAAATAAGTTCTTTTAGTAATCCTCAGCTCTTTTAAGAGAAGTAACTAATTCTCAAAGATCTTTTTGAATATATAGACAATAAAAACTCTCAGAGGAGTATCTGAAAAGTTGCTACACATACGGTTATTTTGGTACTGTCCCGTGACTACACAGTAAGGACTACTGTGGGATCCTTATTGTTGACCTGTGAAGGGTGGAAAAAGGAGTTGCTGTAGCAATATTCTGAAAGTGCCTGTTGGTGGGAGTGGATGACTAAGTATAAAGTCCTGCTAATCATAAACCTGTATCTAATGGCACTCTCTTAATAGTGACTTCAGAAACAAATACTGCTTTATGGCCTTGAATATCCTGGATTGTTCTGCTTGCTCAGCTTGCTCTTGTGCTCCATTCCTCAGACTCCAAAAGGTTACAGCTCCTCTTGTGTATCTGATACCTACTTTTTGTGATTAAGTGTGATTGCCATATGTTTCACAAAAAGTGTACAGTGAGCTGGGTTTATAAGGGCCAGGGTCCGTGTTAGCTAAAAAGAAACTGTTTTTTCGGGGAAAACGCAGTCCTGGAAAGCAGCAGTGCTTTTGCTGCTGAGAGCTGCTGTGTGTTAGGGGTGGAAGGAGAGATTGGCTGCCCGGAGCGGCCCCTGCTGGCAGGCTCTGCCGGTGGCACCGGCGGTAATCTCTTCCAAAAATGAGCGTCAGTAGAAGCATGCTGCTTCACTCTTCTGGAACCAGGTGTACTGCAAGTATATTCCAACTTGTGTCAACAATGCTAACTACAACTGATTTTATTTTTTCTCCACCTGTGTGGTTTTGTAAAGCAGTTGTGAAACCAGTTATTTCATGAGCAGTCTTGAACAGACTCAGTGAACGCACAATAGTGAAGTTTGTTTTGACAGCTCTAACTGAAAAAAACCCAAGTTTATTAATCACTTTACCTATTTGTTTTCAGCAACAGGTACGCAAGATAGTGATGCAACAGGGGGAAGGATCAGAAAGTTAAGTGTTGGGCAGTATGACAATAATGTCCCTGGGCAGCCATCGTATAACCGGTGTGGATGGATCAAGTCTCCTGCTACTGACCAGGCTGTAAATCCAGGATCACCAATTCCTGTAGGGGAGACCAAGGAGGTAAACAATGAAGAATTTTTCAAGAAGTATTTATTGCAATGAATGGCCAATAGGGAGTCCTGTGTTCGTTTTCAGTCTCCAAAATCAATGTGAAGCAATTGGGCAGTTGTATCGTAGCAGTAAGAACAACAAATGACTGTAGTTATCTCAGAAATACAATTCAGTGTTTAATGATGTCCTACTCTTGTTCTCCCTATGTGTTTGCATGTTTTCAGTGTTCCAAGATGTCTCTGCTGGAACGGTGGATCAGATTATATGAAACCTTCTATAATCTGATGAAAAATGCCCTACTGTATTGTAGGGTTAGGTGGGAATTTTCACACTGTAATTTGGCTTTTTTATGCCCTCTCTAGATGTCTGTTGTGTGTTACGAAGATGAAATGGATGGGGGAATCTTCTCCCCAACAAAAAATGGAAATGAAGCTGTCCCGTCTACACCAGCTTTTCCCCTGTCACCAGAGACATCATATGGTAAGGAAATGTCTATCTCTTTTTATTTATTTATTTAAATAGCACTATTAACATTTTAGCTGTTACTAAAGAGAAATTGTACTTTTCCTTCTTTCCTAGTGAAAACACCTCCGCTATACCATCAGCGAACTCCCTCCTGCCAAAAGGTCAGCAGCCCATCTGAGTTCTACAGAACCAGTCCCGGTAAGATACCCCTACTTCTTAAATAATTTGAAACTGAACTGTGTATGAAGACAACTAACACAACAGTGATTATTCCTTTATAAATAGGACATATACCTGGTGATTTTAGACACGTGCAGGTCACAGAAATAGAATTTAGCAGTTCTATTTCAATCATATTAAAAAGACGTAAACAATGAATAATTATCCAAGAAATATTTAATGCCGTTAGTTGCCAACTGGGAGTCCTGTGTTCACGTTCAGTGTCTAAAATCAGTGTGGAGCAATTAGGCAGTTGCATCATGGCAATAAGAGAAAATGCAATTCAGTGTTTAAGGCTATCCTGCTCTTGTTCTTTGTATGCATTTGTGTGGTTTCAATGTTCCACAATCTCTCTGCTGATATCAAAATACTACTGTCAGGAGATTTGAGGTTCTTGTGATTTTTAGTAGGTTCTTGTCTCCACCTGAGGAAAGAGCGGTGATATCCATGTTGCCATCTTGTCAGGCAAGTGAAGCTGACAATAGAGCTTGACAGTAGCTATGCTCAAGTCAAGGAGATCTTAATCAAAGGAATGAATCTTCTGGGGTTTTTTTTGTGCCACAATGTAAATGCACAAGCATAGAAAAGTAGTTGGTAATAGATGATTACACATTTAAAGATATAATGTGATCTAGCTATGAATTTTATTAATAAAGGATTCTTCTTTGAGGCCTTAACTCTTTGCTGTTAAAAATAGCAGCAAAGATATTGTTAGCTGTCACCTTTTCTGTGCGATATTATTTTAAAAAGTAAGTTTTTCATGTGACTGCATCAGAAATTGCTGGACATAGAAGGAAGTGAATGTATGTTATTTAACACCTGAATAAAAAATCACAGACATTAATTTAAATTGGATGCATTAGAAGATGTTCAGATGATAATTCACGTGTATATGTAGTTTTATTGCTTAGGCTATGACTGTCTTCTCAGGCAGGATCTTGACAGTAGAGTTTCCAATAAATTTGAGGGTGGATTTTGCTGTAAGAATAGTTAGTGTTTTGGTTTTAATTTTGGGAAAAAAAAAACCTTTCTGTTTAATTTGCCTCATTTAATAATTATCAAAAGCAAATAACATCAACACATAATAAAATTATCTTTAGTAATAAAGCAATCTTCTACCCAGTTCAAGACATCTCTTTATCATTCAGTTTCTGTGACTTTGCCCCTTACTCTCTTAACTCTTAAACAATTAGTGGTAGATAGCCTTCTGAGGAAAGTTTCAGCAAATCAATTACAGGCTGCTTACGTTGAGTTAATCTACTGAATACTTTGTTGTTAAATGGTTGCCATCACTGTTGCTAAGAGTTAGGACTCACCCTGGAAAATTTTGTGGCTTTCAGTGCATTTCTCTATTTTGTTGGTGATAGAATCATAGAATGGTTTAGGTTGGAAAGGACCTTGAAGATCACAGAGTTCCAACCCCCCTGCCATGGGCAGGGACACCTCCCACTAGACCAGGTTGCCCAAGGCCACATCCAGCCTGGCCTTAAACACCTCTGGGGATGGGGCCTCAACAACCTCTCTGGGCAACATGTTCCAGTGCCTTACAACCCTCAGAGTAAAAAATTTCTTCCTAATGTTTAATCTAAACCTGCCCTCTTCCAGTTTAAAGCCATTCCCCCTCGTCCCGTCACTACATGCCCTAGTACAAAGTCCTTCCCCAGCTCTCCTGTAGGCCCCCTTTAGGTACTGGAAGGCCGCAATAAGATCTCCCCAGAGCCTTCTCTTCTCCAGGCTGAACAGCCCCAACTCTCTCAGCCTTTCCTCATAGGGGATGCAGGACTCCAGGTGGGGTCTCACAAGAGTGAAGTAGAGGGGTAGAATCACCTCCTTTCACCTGCTGGCCACACTTCTTTTGATGCAGCCCAGGATGCGGTTGGCCTTCTGGGCTGTAATCGCACATTGCTGGCTCACGTTGAGCTTCTCGTCAATCAGCACACCCAGGTCCTTCTCCTCAGGGCTACTCTCCAGCCATTCCCCAACGAGCCTGTATTTGTGCTTGGGATTGCCCCAACCCAGACGTAGGACCTTGCACTTGGCCTTGTTGAACTGCATGAGGTTGGCTTGGGCCCACCTCTGCAGCCTGTCCGGGTCCCTCTGGATGGCGTCCCTCCCCTCCAGCGTGTTCACCTCACCAACCAGCTTGGTATCATCGGCAAACTTGCTGAGGGTGCTCTCAATCCCACTGTCCGTGTCCGCGACAAAGATGTTGAACAGTACAGGTCCCAGTACCGACCCCTGAGGAACGCTGCTCATCACTGCTCTCCACTTGGACATTGAGCCGTTGACCGCAACTCTTTGAGTGCAACCATCCAGCCATTTCTTTATCCACCGAGTGGTCCATTTGTTGAATCCATGTCTCTCCAATTTAGAGACCAGGATATCGTGTGGGATGGTGTCAAACGCTTTGCACAAGTCCAGGTAGATGACATTGGTTGCTCTTCCCTTGTCCACTGCTGCTGTAACCCTTTCGTAGAAGGCCATCAAATTTGTCAGTCATGACTAGCCCTTGGTGAAGCCATGCTGGCTGTCACCGATCACCTCCTTGTTTTCTATGTGCCTTAGCAGAGTTTCCAGGAGGATCTGCTCTGTGATCTTGCCAGGCACAGAGGTGAGACTGACTGGCCTGTAGTTCCCTGGGTGGTCTTTTTTTCCCTTTTTGAAAGTAGGGGTTATGTTTCCCCTTTTCCAGTTGGCAGGAACCTTGCCAGACTGCCACAATTTCTCAAATATGATGGCTAGTGGCTTAGCGACTTCATCTGTTAGTTCCCTCAGGACCCGCGGATGTATCTCATCAGGTCCCATGGACTTGTCCACCTTCAGGTTCCTCAGGTGGTCTCGCACTTGATCTGCACCTACAGTGGGTGGTTTTTCATTTTCCCAATCCTTGCCTTTGCATTCTGCATCATGGGCAGTGTGGCTGCAGTCCTTGCCAGTGAAGACTAAGGGGAAAAAAGTGGTTGAGGACCTCAGCTCTGTCTCTGTCCTAGGAAAGCAGTTTTCTTGCATTTCCTTCTGGAGAAGGAAGGGAAGAGGAAGAAGGCCCACCTCTTCCCTAGTCTTTCTTTTCTCACTGGCATACTTAAAGGAGGATTTTTTGTTTGTCTTAATGTCCCTGGCCAGATTTAGTTCATTCTGGGCTTTAACTTGTCCTACCCAATCCCTGGCTGCTCGAACGATTCCTCTGTATTCCTCCCAGGCTACCCGCCCCTGTTTCCGCTCCCTATAGGCCTCCTTTTTACTTTTGATCATGTCCAGGAGCTCCTTGTTCATCCATTCAGGCCTCCTGGCTTTTCTGCCTGCCTTCCTCTTTGTAGACATGCATTGCTCCTGAGCTTGGAGGAGGTGGTCCTTGAATATTTGCCAACTTTCTTGGGTCCTCTTCCCTCCAGCGCTTCATCCCATGGCACCATGGCAGATTCTTCAAGAGGCCAAAGTCAGCTCTCCCAAAGTCCAGGGTGGTCAGTTTGCTGCTCACTTTCCTTGCTGCCTCGAGGATCTCGAATTCGACCATTTCCTGGTCACTACAGCCCAGGCTACCCTTGAGTTTGACACTGCCTACCAGCCCCTCCTTGTTGGTAAGAACAAGGTCCAGCATGGCTCCTCTCCTCGTTGGCTCCTCTACCACTTGGAGAAGGAAGTTGTCATCAGTGCAATCCAAGAACCTCCTGGATTGCCTATGCCTGGCTGTGTTACCTTTCCAACAGATGTCGGGGTGGTTGAATTCGCCCGTGAGAACCACGGTCTGTGAACGTGATGCCGCCCCTATCTGCCCCTGTAGCAGACCCCCACTGTAATGTCCCCTGCTCCTGATTTCCTTTTAATCCTTACCCATAGGCTCTCAGTCAACTCTTTATCCATCCTTATCTCTCAAATACTGGGTTAATGCAACACTGAAAATACTCTAGCTTAGACCAAAGCAGGTATTTCTCCCTTTGAATACCCCTTTAAAAATGATACTCAAGGTGTACTGAATGCTACAGGTTAACTGCTCAGCTCCCTATGGCTTTGCTTTTACCCGCAAATGTAATGTACTTTGATACTAAGGTTAAAGGTGTATGAAGTGGGTCAGCTAGAAAACATGCGATACACCATTAGCGAGCACCACTAAGAAACGTTAGCTGGGTGACTTTCCCACCAGAGCACAGAAACTTCTATTGCCAGAGGCAATATTAGAATCCTACTAGAATTTTTTTGTTGTTGTTTTTACTCTTCTCCCTTTACTATTCTACTTTACTTATTGACTGTATCTATAGTATCTATTTACTGCATTTACTTGCTTCTGACTTTGGCAAGAAGTGAAAAGATGTCTGTTCTTTTTTTTCTTTCTTCTCTTTTGTAACCAATCCCTAATTCATGGCCAGAGCAAGAGTTGCGTTTGGTGTGTTGAATGGGGCCAAGAATCTGAAGGGGACAGAAGTAGCTGTTCCTGTTGTTGAGATTGCTCTAATGCACATGCGACAAAGGTGACTCTATCAGTATGTACTTTGCAAGAATTCTTACAGCCCCAATTTTTAGCACTTTCCTTTGCAGCCTTGCTCTTCTTTTAAATGCTTTCATTGTTTTAATTTTGGTAGAAGTTGGGAAACATGCTGACTTCTCCAGACGGTTTCGACAGATTGAGGCCTTTGGAGTCATGGGCTCTGGAGTCTTAATTTCTGCTATTAAGATCTTGCCCCTTTTGTTTCAGTTCAGATCACCCTTGAATTCAGAAGTGGTTTGTTCTGCATCTCAGCTTTGCTGCTTATCTGCATTTCAAGTTAGTAGTGAGGATCTGGCTACCAGTTATCTAGATATATCGCTGTCTTATTTCCTCCCTGCTTCCTTGTAGAGAATAGCTTCCAGTGTTGTTAGCACTTACCATATCAAGAGAGAATGTGGTTTTAGAAAAGTATGAAAGTATAGATTTTTAAAAAACAATACATATTTTTGTGTATTCTGTGTTCAAGAATTACATTGACAACCAGTCTTTATATATA